TAGGAGGTAGAAAATGTAGGGAGGGAGTCGACTATGGAGGTTGTACTGTTTGTGGGATTCTTGCTAAATGAGTAGATTTTAGCTGCTGTTGGCACAAAAAAAAGGGGGGAAGAGGTGGCAACTATGTGAGATGAGGGATATGTTAGCCCTTTCTGAAACTATGCCAGACCTCATCTAACATGGTTTTCCTGTTCCACTCCAATGTCAGAAGATGTCTGACACTTCTTTTGTGCTTCTCATGCTACGACAAGAGGTTAGTGACAATGCTGAGTACGTACTTTGGCCCTCAGACAAACCAGCTGATCACTGGTTACAGCAGGAAATAGCCTCTTCATTCTGAGAAACCAATAGTTATTTCAGAAGACACAAGTTTATGGGAACAGTGGACAGAGCTGATCAGTACTATGGATATTACAAATTTCCAAGGAGGTCCTACAAATGGTAGAAAAACTGTTCTTTTGGTTGATGGAAGTTGCAGGTGCGAACAACTACAATCCTTCACTCATAAGGAGGAGAGTGGAGAAAAAGTACAGAGATACCTTTCTTACAGGAGAAAGCTCACCACTCAGCTTGGGGACATGTGAGGAACAAAATGTCAAGAAAGAGGGGAAGACCATTATCTTCTGACACTGAGGAAAGCCTAAATGGCAAGATGCATTTTATGATGCAAAACAAAACATCAGAAAGGACTGCACAGTTTGCAGAAGAAACGGGAAAGGTGAAAAGAGAGAAACCATTTTCTACTGTGAGACATGCAAGAGGAAGCCTGGACTGTGTCCTAGAGACGGCTTCAAGAAGTATCACACTCAAAAAAAGTATAAACAAAAATTAACAAAAACTCCTTATTTACTTTATGTAACCTTAAATTGATAATAAAATCACCAGGTGAGTTCACATTTATGGTTTTCTCTTTTAGAACTGTAGTATAATTACAAGTAATCTACCAACCTCGTACCCTCCCAAAATAAGTAGGAGTTGGGGAGTATGTGGGTGGCAGAAAAATTGGATTAGAATTAATTTGCTTCACTTTTGTAACCTTTCTACTTTCTATATGTATTCCAGAACATCATGTTGTATAGCTTCAATATAATAAATAAAATTTGTAAAAATTAAGAGAATAAATACATTTAAACATGAGTTGTTTAGGTAGGGAAGGGAATGGTAGGCAAAGGAAGAACAAAAATTTGGAGAATGATGGATATGTCATTATCTGGATTGTGATCATGGTTTCCCAGATAGGTATTTATGTCCAAACTCATATGCTTTAAATAGGGGCCATTTATTGCTTATCAGTTATACCTCACTAATGTTAAATTTTTTTTTAAAAGACTCCTAGATACAAAACCGTAAAACATTATTGTAGTGATATGCTAAGATATGTTATACAACTTTGAATTGGAAAACTCAGTATTGTGAGGATTTTAATTCTCTCCAAATTGACTATAAAAACAATGTAATTCAATCAAAATTCTAGCTTAATAATTTCACATGTTCATTTTAAAATATATACAGATATACAAAGAGCAAAGAATCCACAAGACAAGCTTGCAGAAAAAGTGAAAGAACTTACTCTACCCACATCCCAGCTTATCATAAAGCCACAGTACTCAAGACAGTAAGACATTGGCACTGGGACAGACAAATAAAGCAGGGACTCAGAGTCCAGAAACAGATGCTTCCACATGTGAATGTTTAATTTATGACAAAGACAGGAAAGGGTGGTCATTTTAATAAACAAAACGGAACAAACTGGATATCCATGTAAAATGTATTCCCCCAATTCAAACCATAAACAAATACTAGATATTAGACATTAGATCTTGATGTGAAAGGTAAAACCCTAAGCTTAAGACAGCATAAGAGAATATCTTAATTACCTAAGGATACGGAACAATTTCTTAAGTATGTTAATAAAAAGCACTAACCACAAAATAGAAGATAGAAAATTGATCTAGATTAAAATTCAACAGCAGACCCATTAAGAGAGGGTTTTTTTGGTCTTTTTTTTTTTTTTTTGAGACAGAGTCTCACTTTGTGGCCCTCAGTAGAATGTCATGGTGTCATAGCTCATAGCAACCTTAAACCCTTGGGCTTAAGTGATCCTCTTGCCCCAGCTTTTCATTTTTCAGTAGAGATAGGATCTCCTTCTTGCTCAGGCTGGTCTTGAACTCCTGGGCTCAAGCAATCCACCCTCCTCAACTTCCCAGAGTAGTAGGATTACAGGCGTGAGCCACCACACCCAGCCAAGTTTGAAAAAGATAAAGATACAAGCTGTGAAATAGGAGAAATATTTAAATACATATAACTAACAAAGTGCTCATACAGAAAATATATAAAGAGTTCCTATAAATAACTAAAACACAAGCAACATAATAGAAAAGATGCAAACTAGCATTTCAGAAAGTATCCAATAGCCTATAAACATATGAAAAGATGTTTATTATCATCAGTAATCATAAAATGCTACAGAGAAATCATAAAGAGATACCACAAACACCTGTTACAATGGCTATTATGAAAAGGCCTGATAATAGCAAGTGTTGAAAAGATGAAAAACAACAGGAATTCTCATACTGTTACTGAGAGTGTAAATTAGTTCAACTACCTTGGAAACCTATTTATTGTAATCTATCAAATTTGCAGTCACCTTGTAGTCGCAGTGCATGTAACATACCATCAGAAATGCATGTACGTGCACACTAAAATATTGAATAAAATTAGGCATAGCAATATGATTCATGAAGCCTAAAACATGAAATAATCAAATATCTATCACAGGAGGTTAAAATATACTGCAGGATATCTATACAATGGAATACTAAAGACCAAGAAAAATGAACAAAATGGAAGACCCTGACACACATCCATAAGTATCACAATCATAATGATTAGCAAAACAAGTCAGAGGCACAGCACACCCTGCGTGATCATACTTATACAGGAAATGTAAAACAGGGAAAATTAATCTACACGGTTAAAAGTCAAAACAATGACAGGGAGGAGTTAGCGGTCAGGAAGAGGAATGATCAGGAGGAGGCCTATTGGGTACAGGTAATATTTTATTTCTAGATCATTTGCACTTTCTGATAATTCATCGAGCTATACTCCAATATATGAAACTTTCCATAAGTACATTATACCTCCAAATTTTAAAAATTAAATGTAAGAATTAAAAAAAGAAGACAAAGCTTTATCCCTTTCAAGTGGCAGGTTACAGTCTAGAATTTATGAGAATTTAGCATCTTAGGAATGTCGAAAACAATTTTTTTAAACAATTATGAGAAGAACCAGAATATCAAGTTAGTAAAAGCTACATTCTTAAATATTCACATTCAGCACTTGTTTAGAAAATATACAAATTACACAATGGCACAGACTCCTTGCTATGTAAACTGCAGCAATTAACACAGAAGCCTACCAATTTGTTAATCTCAGAAAGACCTCTTGTGAACTTTGAGAAGTTTCAGAAACTTTAGACTGGTACAATTTAACCTGAAGGTGCTATTAGTATGCCTGCAAAAAATCTAGAACTTTATATACAAGAAGACGTATCCCACAACACATTAGATGCCGTATCACCACACACTAACTGCCAAGATATTTTTGTCTACTGCAACAGAAGACAGATATTATATCTTCACCTTTCTAAGGCTCTTCAAAAATAAATTAGCACCAAAAACACAGAAGAAAGATGTTTTTATATAGCTCAATGTTTATTCATACTTTTGAAACAGGCAAATTTCACTGCAAGAGCAGTAATGAATTAATCTCTTAAAAAAAATAGACTATACCTATCGCTTAGCACATGCAGCCAATAAATTCAAACTTCAAAACAAACTCAGCATATCTGTGTAAGGAATTGTGAACACAATTACCAACTACAAAAAAATACCTATTTTTGCTAGGAAATTTTCAATTTGAACAAAATTTCTTAAGGAAAAAATCCTGCTAACTTTCCTTATCTTGAACAAAACAAAAAGTTGTATGGAAAACGAATAAATACACATTGCTTCCGAAGTTGACAAATTTGTAACACTTTGGTGAGAACTGCTATAGACATTTTTCTCCTTAAAAACAAAACCAATGAAGTTAAGAAATGGACTCTATATGTACTTTATTTTTAACATTAATTCCACCAAGGATAGTGATTTGATAAAAATAAATCCCTGAAAAATGAGTGTTAACAACCCATGTGAGATAACGGAACTGGGGAATTAGGTGTATTTTCAACTGTCACCATATCAAACAAAAACAGAGAGCAAGGAGGGCTGTGTAGTGACTGTCATTAGACACCTATGGGAAATGACCTGAAAATATCTAATGGAAAGTTCTACCCAGCCACTACAAAAAAGCATTCGAAATTCCTCAAATATCATTTAATAAATACTATAGAAGAATCATTGAGACAATAAAATTTAAATTATCTTTTAAATATCCACAAAACTCTAAAAATTAAAGCAAATGTTAACTCTATGTCGAATATAGTATCACTGTGATATTTCAAAATTAAATGCCTAAGGTTCATGAACATTTTATATAAGAAGTATAAGCACATATTTTTAGACAAAATGGCATATACCATCCAAAAGGTTAAACTCTACTAAACTTTACTGTGATTATAACCCACCCAGACACCATCCTACTACCCACATATGATATGAAACTTTTTCTTTTTTTTTTTTTTGAGACAGAGTCTCAAGCTGTCGCCCTGCGTAGAGTGCCATTGCGTCACAGCTCATAGCAACCTCAAACTCTTGGGCTTAAGCGATTCTCTTGCCTCAGCCTTCCAAGTACAGGCACCCACCACAACGCCTGGCTATATAGATATATATACACATATATATATATATGTTTTTTTTTTTTGGTACAGTTGTCATTGGTGTTTTAGTTGGCCCAGACTGGGTTCGAACGCGCCAACCTGGGTATATGTGGCCAGCGCCCTACTCACTGAGCTACAGGTGCCACTGATATAAAACTTCTCATAAATGAACATTTCTCACCGCTTCTTGTTTCTGTACTTCATTAAGTTTTTCAGTCAATTCTTCCAAAGCCTTTTTTGTTTCAGCATCCGACCTACACAAAGATTTTAAGTTGAATATTTGAGAAAATATATAGAATTAGTAAAATTTACAACATAACCATGTTATCCCATAATACTCTAACACAGTGGTTCTCAAACGTTACTGTACATGTGAAACATCTGCAGGGCTTGTTAAAACACAGACTGCTGGACTCTACCCCCCACATTTTTGAACCAGCAAATCTTGCGATAAGGCCCACAGATGTGCATTTCACAAATTCCTGAAATTTCGGGTGATGCTGGCAGTCCAGGGACCAAACTTTGAAAACTGTGGCTATACTGTATTAATGTCATCCTCAATCAATAAACATGCATATTTTATCAAACATATCTCGATTTATCATGAAGAAGAAAGTAAAAGAGGGAAGGAGAGAGAACAAAAGTCTTGATCTCACACCTTCTCTTCTAGCAATTTGTAATTGAATTATATCAGTGTGCTGAATAATTTCTAGCCTCACTAATTTATCTCCTATTACCTTTTGCCCCATCAAATTAATAATATACATGATAAACAAATAGCACAGAAAGAATTAAACAACAAAGAAAAGTAAAAGCCTTTCTGTCTCACATGTTCTGACCTCTAGCTCCACTTGCCTCTAGCAACATGGATATTCATAATTTGTTTGCTGGATACTTTCATAATCTTCGGCTACAAACATGTTTTTATTGACTCCTCCTTTGAAATACTGAGCTACTCCCCAATTAATTTATTGTTTTTAGTTCTTCTAGGGTCACCCACATAATTTTACATGGTATACATATTTATACATCTCACAAATTATTCCATCATAGTCAAATTGCTGTTTTTTGCTCACGCTCTATCATGCTTAGATTCTAACCAGCTTCGCATTTGGATCACAACATTTCCACAACGGTGGTTTTTCTAGGCTTTCAGGTTGTCTTTTGGCCTTCTATTTTCCTCCCACTTCTTTCTAAATCGTCTATAAACTAAAAGTTACTCCATTCTTTTAGACTACATTCTTCACAAACAATTTACTTTCCGGCATTAGTTTAGAGTGAATGCTTCCTGGGCCTGCTACATGGCTGCCATTCTGGAGTCACTGTCACTCAATTCCTAGAGTAGTTCACTATTTCTTAAAATATGTATCTTTCTCTTGTTGGTTACAATCTTATTTTATTAATACTTAGATGTCCTTAAGAGGTTACCTGAAAAAGGTAATTTTCTAGGACTCTGAATCTCTGGAAATGTCTCTATTTTTACCTCTTTCTTGGCTTTTTATGATCCCATGCTGTCGCGACCCATCGGGCTCCTATGGCCCTGGTCTTGGTTAGCACAGGAAGGAACTAGGCGAGAGGCGGATTAGAAGTACAAGCTCCTGGAAGGCGGCCTAGCCCTTACTTTCCCAGTAGCCCCGAGCAACCTCCACACCAGCCTTTTATTGAAACAGAATGATACAGGTGAGGGGAATTAACAATGACTATGTGCTGAGGGCATAGGCTCTTTCTCCATAAGGAGCTCCTGTGGACAAGTCACCCGAGAGTCCACCCCTCAGCTGTAAATCATCTTGCTTAGAGGTTGTCTGTCTCTTGGTGTCCTCTACACCATGCTCTTCTGAATCGACCACATTCATTAGCTGTTCCTTCTTAAGCCAGCTCATTCTCAGATATAAGACTCCTAAATATTAAATTCTTTGGCACTCAGCGTGGTCCTCAATGATCTCCCTATAATTTTCCTCATTCTCATAGTTCCAAATGCCACTTTAAATGCTTGACCACTATGAAATTTACAGCTCCAACATAGACTTCTTTGAGCTTTAGAGTAAATATCTAGCATATTTACATTTCTATTTGGATATCTCATAGGCATCTCAAACCTAAAATATCCCTGCTAAACTCTTAATTTCTACCCTTCACTTACCATATCTACCAGTCTTCCATATCTCTGGAAGAGGAATTACCATCTACCCAGTTACTTAAATCAAAAATCTTGGAGTTGTCCTTGGTTTATTCTCCCTCATCTTCTATATCCAATCCATTACCAAATCCTCTCTCCTTCATTTCCAAAATAATTCTGAAACACACCTCTGTCCGTCTCTCTGTTGCCATAATTCTAGTCACACCATCATCAACTCTTATATTCTCATGCAATAGACTTCCAACTTGCCCTCCTTAAATCTGTTCTTCACATGGCATCCAAAGTAAGATGTAGTAGTTTTGAAGTAAACTTTTTAATACTTTCTAAAAGCTCGATTTCCAGTATATTTTTATTATTCAATGCACTTTTTACAATAAATGTAAAAAATCATTAATTAAATGAACCCAGTCTTCAGAAATCAAATGGAAAGTTAAACCTTTTAACTTCCTACCCTGTATTTTAATAAGCATGAGTTAAGAATCTGCAATACAAGTAAAGCAGAACTGGATCCTAAATTTTACCCACGAAGTTAAGCCACCTCATTTCACAAGAAACTTGACTCTTCTTTTGAATTAAATAAAGTTTCTCTGCCTCACAAATCCCTCTGGGTCACAAAGACTAACACCAGATGGTACCAGCCTGTAGATCAGAAGGGTCCCAGTCCAACGGTGCACATTCAAACAACCATTAAAAAGAAATCAACTAAATCATTCCTATAATTTCTCATGAATCTTCTAACAGAACAACTATCTCCTGAAACTCATGTTCTTAATGCTTCATTTATACCTTCCCTTGTAATGTATAAAAGCTACATAATAAAACCATTCCTGAGAACTCACATATTAAAATGTTAATGCCATTTTATTGGTTTTATCAACTTGTCAAAAAAAAAAATCTAAGTATTAAATTAACTTAGCCTTAACATTTAAAAGATTAAAAGTATAGCTCAATAATATTATTCACAATTCAGGAATTTAAACTCTTTATTCATAACCACTACATGTGAAAATGATTTTGAACCACAGTGTACTGTAAGTGGTAAAGAGCAGAGACTTTGAGGACTTATAGCCTAGATTTGATTCTGATGCCACTACAGCCTCGCTGTTTGATCTCTGGCAAACTGAGTTATTTCATCTTTCTGTGCCCATTTCTTCACCCAAAAAAACTGAGAATAATGACTAGCTCATAGGGTTGTTGCAAGAATTAACCTTAAATTTGCCTAGCACGAAATAAGTACTTAGGCTCAGCACCTATAGCTCAGTGCTTAGGGCGCCAGCCACACACACACGGGGGCTGGCGGGTTCGAATCCTGCCTGGGCCTGCTAAACAACAATGACAACTACAACAAAAAAATAGCCGGACATTGTGGTGAGTGCCTATAGTCCCAGCTACTTGGGAAGCTGAGGCAAGAGAATCGCTTGAGTCTAAGAGTTTGAGGTTTCTGTCAGCTGTGATGCCATGTCACTCTACCGAGGGTGATATAGTGAAATTCTGTCTCAAAAAAAAAAAAGAAAAAAGAAAAAGAATTAAGTACTTAATTATTAGCTAATAAGTACTAGAAATAATAGTAGCAGAGTCTTTTATTCTTGTTACTGAATCTTTTGCCTTCCTTTTGTGAAAGCAAGTAATTTAAGCAAACTATACTTGATATCCAGGGATTTAATATTTAATATTTAATATTTATTTATTTATTTATTAATATTTAATATTTAATATTTATAGTTTTGACTCTTTTCATTGCAGCAACACAGAATTGGTGTATGGATAGTGTGGTTTAGGTAGCTGGAATGGCTGGAATGTGGTAAACAAATGTTAATTTAGCTTTCTTCTTCCTTAAGCTTGGCTGTACATAGATTATAACTCTTAAGAAGACATAAAAATCTATTTTTCTTTTTTAGAAAAATATAGTCACCTACCACTGCCTATTATAAAAACAAAGAAACAGTGAAAAAGTTTTAAATGAACTGATAGTTTTGGGGACCATTCCAGAATTGATGAAATTGATAAACTGGGCAGATCTTAACACTGACTTTTAAAGATTTCAGCTAACAGCTAAAGTATCAGCTTTTACAATGGCTCACGTCCGTTAACAAATTTCACATTATTTTTTTTCTGCAATTGCAAGGATCAGTCTCTGACTCTCCCTCTCTCCAATGTACTTTTTTGTTTTTTGTCTGAAAGAGATTGGCAGCATTATAACTTTTTTTTTTTTTTTGAGACAGAGTCTCACTTTGTTACCCTCAGTAGAGTGCCCTGGCATCATACTTCACAGCCACCTTTAACTCTTGGACCCAAGCGATTGTCTTGCCTCAGCCTCCCAAGTAGCTGGGACTATAGGTGCCCACCACAATGCCCAGCTATTTTTAGAGATGAGGTCTCACTCTGGCTCAGGCTGGTCTCAAACCTGTGAGTTCAGGCAATCCACCCACCTCAGCCTCCCAGAGCGCTAGGATTACAGGCGTGAGCCATTGCACCCAGCCTTAGCATTACTATTTATAGTTATACTGCTGATTAGCCTTCAATTATTTGTATAGCACATAAGAAATAACACTGCTCATATATATCTAATGTATTTTTAAAGCTACTTCTTTGCTAAGCTTCTATAATGTATCTCTCCATAATGTTAGCATTCCATTCTACGGAGTTAAATATTTTTAGAAATATAAATTAATTATTTTTAACACTGAGTCATTCACTTTAAATTTAAAGGGCTCTGAAGTGTTCTATTAATAAATTTTAAGATACTAATAAAAACACAACTCTGTTTTTAAATCTAAGGAAACAAAATGATTACAGAAGCTAATTTATTCTCCTAGTAATTTATGCACACACACACCCCCCCCACGAAAACCATATTCTGCTTTTACCGGCTTCTTCTGGAAAGTTCCCTGTTGAAATCATCTCCAAGGCGAACTTGTTCACTACTGAGGTCTCGAAGGGACCAATGAAAAGCATGAAACTAGTAAAGGAAAAACACAGTTATCCACTTAGGATGCTACTGAATTCTTCCCGGAAGATTTACTAAAGTTACAAATAAGATTTTGCTCCCTTACAATAATGACCAAATTCTATAATCTTATTAAGAAAAAATAAAACAAATGCCTATTCTGCAAGAAACCTTCTTTTTCAAAGAGATGCAATTTTTAAAAGCTATATATAAAATTAACCATCACATTCTCTAGAGTACAGCAATTCCACTCTTTGTACATACGCTAGACAAGTCTACAAGTTTTTTCTATAAAGAGCACAACAGCCAATATTTCAGGCTTACAAGCTGTGTCGTCTCTGTCACAATTATTCAAATCTAACACTGTAGTATAAAAGTGGCTATAAACAAATAAGCATGGCTGAGTTGCCATAAAACTTTATTCTACCAGTCTATACACCTTAGTTTTCCAACCCCTGCTATAGATACTTGCCCATGTACATCAAGAACCAAGTACGAGAAAGCAGGGAACAGCATCATTCATAATGAGAACACAGGGAAAAAACAAAAGGACACCAAGAGGAGGAGGAAATAAACAAACTTCAGCATAGTCCTCCAGCAGGATCTCATGAGCATTGAAAATGAAATGATCAAAGCTACCCACACATTACTGAGGCTGAATGTCAAAAACATGACATTAAATACGCAAATCACAAAAGATTACAGTAGGATTCCTTTTATATGAAGTTTGAAGGCAGGCAACACTGGACAAGATATAAGCAGTAAATATATATTTTTAAAAAGCAAAACAATGACAAATAAAAAAGTTAGCACAATGGATACCCTTTGGGGAAAGAAAGTGCATAAAGAGGCCTGGAGATGTGACCATTCTCTATTTCTTTGCCTAAGTGGGAACTCCATCATGTTTACTCTCTCACATTATTATACCTGTAATTGTAAGTATATATGATACCTATGTATTTGTATGCTATAATTTATAATAAAAATGTATAAATCATATAGACTTGCAACAAATTGGTTCAACAAATGCACACTGAGCAACTAATTAGTGCCAGCTACCAGGAAACAAGTGGCTCCCATCTGGAAAAGGAGACAGATATGTAAACAAACCACAATTCTGTACCAAGAGCATTAAGAAAATACAGTCAAGTAGAGCTAAGGGTTGCCTTAAGAAAATAGAACTTAACAAAAAGGAAGCACAATAAAAAGAAAAGAGTGGAGTAGTATGATAAATGAACAGGCCATTCACTTAGGATTTCCTGCCAACATTTCCCAAGTGTGCAACCCAGAACCCTAGGATTCATCCTTGTTACCCCTTTTTCATTCTTTTCTACCTTCCCCACATGGCTATCTATTCAAGACCTTTCAATTTTATCCACTGAATAGTTTTTCATTCTATCCCATTGTCTCCAATTCTATTTTTCCCAGTCCAAGTGACCAATGACTCCCGCCCAGAACACAGCATGTGCTCCAAATTGGCATGCTCACAGTGACTCCATTTTCTATGATTCAGCCTGCGTGAGCATCTCAAAATAATTTTGTCAGCCCCTTACGAGGATCTGCATGATCTCAGTGCTTTACACTTAGACACGTGGCCTTCTTTAAATTGTTCATAGGTGCTATTGTCCCTTTTGCCAAGCTTTTTGTTCTAATTGGAATACCTCTTACTTAAACAGGCTTTCTTCTGAGATCTTACTCAGACCTCAGCTCAAACAACCTTTCTTCAAGAAGACTTCCTTAACTGGGACAGCTCCCTCTTCTACACATTCCTATAGCCTTATGATTCTTTCCATTATAGCAAGCATATCAAGGTCATAATTACGGGTATATTTATGTATTTGATTAACATCTAGCTCATCCTCTAGATTATAAATTCAATGATAAGGCAAGGTTTTTGTTCTTCATTGTTTCCAAGCATAAGCACTATCCCAATGACAGAGGCACTAACAGAATGAAAGAGTATATGAGTAATGTTAGGATACTGTTCTCTGCTCTAGATTTCATCATACAATGCATCCTAGCAAGTTTTATCTATCAAAAATAACATACTCAAGAAAAAGTTTCCACAGGTGTTTTCTAATGTATTTGGTTTGTTATCATTTTATCTTATGTTCTAACAGGTGACAGCTATAGTAAGTATACTGACCAAGCTTTGAACACCCAATCCCAGAACTACCAAAAGAAAAAAGGTCAAAGTCAGAAATCCCCTACCTCTTTTCTAATTAATTTAGCTACCCAAGATAACAAACAAAAAAATTTCAGCTTGGCAGAAAACATTAAAGAAGCAAAAAAAATATATATCCATAGAACCAATACTTTAGAAATCTTTAGTGAATAGATAAGGAATTTCTTAATATAAAATGGCACCATCAATGGTTCAACAACCAGAAAAATATTAATGGTAGAAAAATCAATGAGTTAATCACACAAGGATTAACTTGTTGATACTAAACCAAACTTAGAAAAATGGAAAGTAGCTGACTTAGCAGGACTTAGAGTAGAATGAGCACCTGAACAAGGAAACTCGCCCAACTCACTTTTAAATGTTCTACAAAATACAATCCTATGTAATAAAATTCAAAATAATGTATAAATTCATACATTGAAAACAGTCTACATAGACAAGACTTAAATTCTTACAGAACCACAAAAGATTCTGAATATCAAAAACAACCTTAAACAAAAACAACAAAGCCAGAGGCATACTTCTTGATTTCAAAACATTATAAAGTGATGATAATCAAAACAGTATGGTACTAGCATAAAAATAGATACATCAACCAATGTAAAGAGACCAAAAACCTAGAAACAAATGCACACGTTTACAGTCAACTGATTTTTGACCAAGCCACCAGGAACATACTAGGGAGAAAGGACAGTCTCTTCAATAAATGGTGTTGAGAAAAGTACGTATCCACATGCAGATGAAGAAAATTAGATACTTATTTTATACTATACGAAAAAAACCAACTTAACATGTATTAAGGACTTAAATATAAATCCTGAAGCTGTAAAACTACTCAAAGAAAAAAAAATCTAATTGACCATTACATTGGTCAATGAGCTCTTGAATACAGCTCCAAAAGTACAGGCAACAAAAGCAAAAATAGACAAATGGGATTACATCAAATTAAAAAACTTCTGCACAACAAAAGAAACACTTAACAAACTGAAGAGACAACCCACAGAAAGGGGAAAAATATTTACAAACCACACATCTGACAAGGGGTTAATATCCCAAATACATAACAACAATTCAATAACAAGAAAACAACCCAATTTTAAAGTAAGCAAAGGATGTAAACAGACATTTCTCAAAAGACAAATGGTCAACAGATACATGAAAAAGTGCTCAGTATCATCAAACATTAGGGAAATCCAAATTAAAACCACTATCACCTCATGAATGTTAGAATAACTTTTATCAAAAGATGAAAAATAAGCATTGGAGAGAAAAAAGAATTCTTGCACAATGCTGGTGGGAATGTAAATAAGTACAGCCATTATGGAAAACTATATGGGGGCTCTTCAAAAACTAAATATACAACTACTACATGACACAGAAATCCCATTTCTGGATATATTCCCAAAGGTACTGAAATCAGTGTGTCAAAGGGACATTGGTACTCTGGTGTTTGTTGCAGCTTTATTCACAACAGCCAAGATACAGAAACAACCTAATTATCCATCAACAGATGAACGGATAAAAAAAAATGTAGTATATATACATAATAGAATTCTAAAGGGTGTCCCAAAAGTCACCCCCAAAAGTTGCCATATGTGGGGAAAATGAGAATGTAGCTAAATGTACTTTTATTTACAAAATTTTACAAAATACTCTCTACATGTTGGCCACCTCTTTGTAAAATTTTGTTGATCAAAGGGAACAAGATTTCAGATAAACGGGAGGAATAGGTTTTGAAATGTACTGCACACCAGGGTGACTATAGTCAGTAATAATATTTTACATATTTCAAAATAGTTAAGATAATAAATCTGACCATAAAAAATTCAGAGCAAGGTAATAGATTATGTTAACTAACTTGTTTTAATGGTGCCTCATTTTATATATAGTTCAACATAACACTGTATCCCATAAATGTATACAACTATAATTTGTCAATAAAAATAATTTTATAAAAAATAAAATAAGGTCATTTCCTTAGTTAAAAAAAAAAAAAAACTCAATGCAAAATTTCTGATGATCAAATTCTTGGTTAAAATACAGCCTTAAAGTTCAAGTGTTAGTCATTTATCCAGAAATGTAAGGAAATGATACATATAAATCACAGAATGGTACAAGGTACCTGGACTACATTATCAGTCTCCCGAACAAATCGCACACTAGATCTGGATCTATCACGCTTAACACCCTGTGGATCTCCATAGTCCTTGAGAGGTGAGGTAGGTGGAAAACGATGGCTCTCTTTACAATTGAAAGGAAAGAGAGAGGATTAAAACATGCATGAGAAGAAGCAGACTAAAATTTTACTCTGTATGTATACTCCAAATATGGTATACATACACTTGTGTTCTTATCCCCAAACCCAGACTATTCTCAAGTATTTTTCTGTGGCCATAAAGTTCCATAGAACTGACACTAATCCTTCTTATCTTAAAGCAGATAAAATTAACCTGAAAATGGAATATGTCAAAAGTTCCAGTTTGCTATACTTTCCAAAGAAGGAATATATTTTATTTGCATATGCAAAAGAAACTGCTAAATAATAAAAAAGTTTGACTCTCTAACATAATACTAATAAAACAGAATATTTCAAACAAAGTAATCTAAAATCTGAACAGTACATAAAAACCTACTCACTACTAACCAAAAGTGATAGTGTCCAATTCTTAATCATTATCATAATCAACCACAATATTAACAATGTGAGGCACCGATGTTCAATCTTATCTGTATCACCTCCCTTCACTGCCGACTTTTCAATTCAAACATGAATCTCGGTGCTATAGAAAAATATAAATTAATTAAGGCAAACTGCATATTATAATCTTTGATCTAGTCATTAACATCTAGCTGGACATCAAAACTAACCCGGTCTTTAGAAGTATCATAAAAACTATTGTGCTAGGACAAGACATCTAACCCACAAAGCATACCATAAGGTAAATCTCATTTGTGTATTTGTTTTTATTCTTTGGCAGCACACAAATCCAATTTTATCAGGAAAAGTTCTGTGTGGTCTGCAGAGGCTGAGAAAAACAAAACTAATAAAACACAGACCTTTTACTGTATTTCAAAATTTGGACCATAAATTCCTTGATAACTCCATCTCCATCAAATCTGTATGATATTATATATAGGTTTTATTTCTCCAAATATTAAGTGCCTTCAATATTTACTACAAAAATATTTGTAAAACAAAAAAAGGGTATTCTAAACACTTGAAGCATTACCTGCCACAGGGCCACAATCAAGGTCACTTGTACTCAGACTTGTAACAGAAAGACTTTTCCCACTTGAGTTTCTCAATAAACGTTGACTTCGAAGTTGATCTATTGATTGTTCCAAGCTTTCTTTTAACTAATTTAAAGAATATAATAAAGGAAGAATTATTCTTTTTAAAGACCTTCCAAACACAAATAGATTTTAAAAGCTATTATCTGAAATGTCTGGGTTCCAAAAAGAATTTATAACACAGTTTGAACTAAGTTATGTTAAGAAATTAAAAAAAAAAAAAAGGCTCGGCGCCTATAGCTCAACCGGCTAAGGCGCCAGCCACGTACACGTAAGGTGGCGGGTTCGAATCCCCAGCCCGGACCCGCCAAACAACAATGATGGCTGCAACCAAAAAAATAGCCGGGCGTTGTGGCGGGCGCCTGTGGTCCCAGCTACTTGGGAGGCTGAGGCAGGAGACTCGCTTGAGCCCAGGAGTTGGAGGTTGCTGTGAGCTGTAATGCCACGACACTCTGCCCAGGGGGACAGCTTGAGGCTCTGTCTCAAAGAAAAAAAAAAAAAAAAAGTAAACATAAATATTTTAAGAATCGCCGGTATCTCTCACTATCTATTTCATCTTCTGTTACCAGAATGAGGAAGAGATGTCTAGTATCTAAGGGCTTACAAAGCCAAATAGAAATGTCTATTTGATGCATCACCCACGCAAACAAACATAACAAGGCTAACATGAAAGAACAGAGCGCACTGTATGCAGTTACTTACTTACATTTAATAGGCCTGTGTATTTTTTATCATGTCCTAAGATATTTTATTTTAAAACTACTGAGATAATTTAAAGAAAGAGATTTGGTTTTGCTTCTAACAGGAAGTCAGGCTATGGTCAATAGCAATCCCAAATCACCTTAATCCAGTTAGGAATTGAAATCCTTCAAAGATGGGCTTCTGTCCCCAGGAAAGCTTTTCTATTTTCAATTTTTCACTTTTTTTTTTTTTTTTTTTTTTGAGGCAGAGTCTCACTTTCTTGTCCTGGTAGACTGCGGTCGTGTCATAGCTCACAGCAACCTCAAACTGTTGGGCTCAAGTGATCCTATTGCCTCTGCCTCCCAAGTAGTTAGGACTACATGTGCCCTCCACAACACCCAGCTATTTTTTAGGGATGGGATCTCACTCTTGCTCAGGGTGGTCTCGAATGTCTCAGCTCAAGAAATCCACCTGCCTTGGCCTCCCAGAGTGCTAGGAGTACAGGTGTGAGCCACAGTGCCCAGCCACTTCTTTTATCTTCAATTCACCATTTCTCCTGTACTACTGCCCACTGGGGTCTACAATTAAAACCAGAGGGTTCCTGACCCCTAGTTTTTGTCTCCCATAGTCTCTTGAATTGATTAATAACTCTAATCCTACGCTCTCTGTTTCTAACTCACATCTTCTGGAATCAGCTTAAAGGAGGAAAAAAGTCCCAAATATAAAACTTATCCTCAGGATTTCCTTTTTTTGTCAGATCCTGACTGCAAAATTTCTCACTCCCTTAGTAGTTCTCTGATAGATTCACAGTATTATTTTTTACATTTTTTTCATATTTCCACTTGTTTTCAGGAGAACTATTCCCAAATAATCTTATCTGTTAATGCTAAAAGTAGAACTTATCAAGATCCTTTTTATGTGCATTTATTTGCTAACAAATCCTAAGCTGCAACTAAAAGCCAAATGAATCTTCACAGGGATACATACTTTCTTCTACCAAAAAAAAAAAAAAAAAATCCGACATGGAACATACAGAAAAATGGTGCATAACAAGAGAAACAAAACAAGGACTCCCAAGATCAAGGATGAATAAAAGATGTTTAAAATTAATCATTTCAGGGCAGCACCTGTGGCTCAAAGGAGTAGGGCGCCAGCCCCATATGCCGGAGGTGGCAGGTTCAAACCCAGCCCCAGTCAAAAACTGCAAAAAAAAAAAAAAAAATTAATCATTTCAAAAATAAGATAAAAAGTAGAAAAACTATTTGGCAACCTCATTTTAAAACTCTAAAAAAATACATCTTAAGCCACTAGAAGATGAATGGGCTTATCTATACAGTCCAAAAAATGAAATGTAAAAATAGATGAGTGAAGTACAGACTTTTAAATTACTCCTCCATGCATTATGGCACAAACATGTTTCTCACTTAAGACATAAAACTAAACTGTAACAGAATTTAAATCTACATTTAAAGTAGTAATAACACAATAGACACTGTACAAAATCTAATCATGATGTATAAAATTACTTTGATAATTCATAAAATACAAAAGCAAAGAGATAAGATATGAAGTCATAAAAACTGCTGTAAACTCTTTAGGATTATAACTCCTAACTAGGTACAAAACCGAACCAAACAAAATTAAATAAAAACAAAATATTAATAAAACTCAGTTCAGCATTAATTTTCCGTTAGACTAGGGAGTAAACTTCAGTAGGCTCCTTCTAACCAAAGATGAAACAATTTGAGCATCAAGACAAACTGCAATGGACTTTAACACATAAAATATGTACACAGTTGGGAGTTAACAGCAGTACTCAAGAGGGGAAAATCATTGGTCATCACTAGAGGAGGTAGGAACCCAACTAATTATGTTAGAAACTAGTAAATGATGAAATGATAAAACTATAGAAGCTTTGAATTATCATTAAAACAAAAAATCAAATTTTTAAATTCTTGTGTAGATCTCTGAAAGTCCTGTGTCTCTATTTGGAAAAACTCTGATTAAAAACAAAATGTAAGTCAAGGTTAAGGAGCTGATAAAAAGTTATATAAAACTCAGAAGGACTGACTACATAGCAACCCAGAAGTATGAATGGAAATCATGTGGGCAACAATGGGAGTAAGTAATTTAAAAGAGACTCTATGAAACTATTTCTCAAGACCTGAAATACTTGTATATTTACAAAAAGAAAGTCTTAATAGAATTTAACTTTGATTAAGACCCATACTAGTTAAAGTTAACAAAAGATTATGAACAGCTTTTACCTTTGGGACAATTAGTGATCTTCAGCTAGGGAGGGAGGAGTGAATACCTTCAGCTTTGGGATATTTCAAGTGGCTGTCTGGCTTTAAACAATTAGCATTATTATCCTTTTGTGTTGTCACTAAATAGATTTGACAACTGAAAACCATTAATTAGAAGGGAAAACCTGGAATTTATTATTTAACATCCAATATTCTTCCAAAGTTCCCATACCAGCTGGTAAGAGCCTACCATTTTCAAAGGGAAATTTAACCAAAGTATTGAATTAGAAGAAAAATTACTCTAATGCAAGTCTCTAAACTGCACTATTTCTATATTTTGGCCAATCTTTACCTTAAAAATGAACTTTATTAATCTGCTGATTTGAATCAAGAGACCTGCATTTTTCTTTCATACCCAATCAACTTTTAAACCTCATCAGATACAGCCCAGTTTGCCCTATAATTTTAACAATGCCTCAATGCCAATTCTACCTCAGCACTAGATTTCTTCCCAACTCTGTTTCTGTATTTGTTCCATCTAACTTTCATTCTAGACATTGTACTAGCTGTACACTGATGACTTCTGTGGCACTGGGCTCCAAAATCTACTTTATCAATATATAATTACAATGTCTCACAATTAAGTTTCTGAACCTGCTACAGTGTACTTATGGTGGCAGCACTGTACAAACAACTCAGTAAGGTTTCATAACTTGGTATATCACTGACTCATGGGTGTCCTTGTGCCAACCTGTAGCAGTGTCTTACTGAATGACAATCATTATTATTGTTGCATGTTTTATGTACCATCACAAGAATGTCAGAGTTTCAATTAGAGAAATGAACAAACATTCATAAATTTCTTATTAAACTTGGCAAGAGTGGAACTGAAATCAGGGATATGTTAGTTCAAGTTTATGGAGATAATGCCTTGAAGAAAATGCCAGTGTACAAACAGATTAAACATTTTTCTGAAGGGAGAGTAGGCATCACTAGTGAAGAGAAGTCAAGGCAGCCAGTCATGAGCACAACTGATGAAAACATTGACAAAATTCATCAAATTATGCATCAAAATTGTTGGCTATGAGAAGTATAGCAGACCAAGTAAACATCGACAGGCAAACAGTTAGGAAAATCTTAACTAAAAATTTTGGTCAACAACTCATGGCTCTTGCATCACAACAATGCACTGGCTCACACAGCTCTATCTGTGAGGTAGTTTTTATCCAATAAACAAATAACTACATTGGAACATCTACCCCCTATGATTTTTTTCTTTACCCAAAGATAAAGGAAATATTGGGGAAAAAAATGACATTTTGATGACATTCAGGACCTCAAGAGTAATACAACAACAGCTTTGATGACCATTCCAGAAAAAGAGTTCCAAAATTGCTTTGAAGGGTAGACTAAGCACTGACCTCAGTGCATAGCTTCCCAAGGGGAATACTTTGAAGGTAATGGTAGTGATTGATATTCAGCAATGAGGTATGTAGCAATTTATCTAGGATGAGCTCCCTAACTTATCAGACCTCATATAGAACCCTTTATATTTTGAATCTGAAGTCCCAATTTTCAGGAATATAAATCCACAGTATCATAAAAATTTGAGTAACCATTACTCAATGAGGTCAATTAGTCCAGAAGCTGGGTTTTAAAACAAGATCCTATCCTTGGCTCTGTCACTTATACTGAGGGACCATAGACAACTTAGTATCCATTCTGTGACCCAGTTTTCCTATCTTGAAAATAAGCATACTAACTATCTTTATCTTATAGGATTAAGAGAATTAAATAAGCCAATGTAAAAAAGTATCAGGTATATATCAAGCTTATGAAGAAATTCTCAGAAATGATAAAACATCAGGGACCCCATATGATCCTTTAATACTGTCAACTCTTCACTAAGAAGCCTTCATGTATTATCATATAAGCAAAAAATTAAATTTAGGGTTTGAGGCTATACAAATTCAAGAGAACAGTGAAATCTTGCATATTTTAAGGAAAAGTATATTTCTTTTCTTTTCTTTTCTTTTTTTTTTTTTTTTTTTTTGGCCAGGGCTGGGTTTGAACCCACCACCTCTGGCTCATACGGTGGCTACCCTTTGAGCCACCGGAGCTGACCGGGAAAAGTATATTTCAAGGTCAGAAAAGCAACCCACCATGACTCATGACCCTAGATTTTATAAGACCAACAGGAACAATTCTCACACTTCCCTTTTGGGGAGAAAAAGAAAAAATCTCACCAAATATTCATATTTACAAACTCTTCCCCTCACCCAGGGATAAATTACATTCACAAAGTTAAACCTGAAGAAACTAAATATTTAAATACATATAAATACATATATAACACTTATATTCATTTTCTAAGAATATTTATTATATTTAACAATAGAATAATTTTTAAATCTAAGTTAAATAATAAAAGTTCCTGTCCTCCCTAGTGCAAAAAATTTGATTTCATTTTCAGGAAATCTCTTTGTAATTTAAAAAAAGAATGTTTATTTCAACTAAGCAGACATTCAGCATGGTGAAAATTTGTTAAGAATTGGTTAAAATAATTATTATAAGATGTTTAAGAAGGGAAAAAAGCTTGTTCCATAGCAACAGAGTTGCAGTGTAGTCTCAAAAAGAAAAAATTCACTCTCCAGCATTGCTTCAATTTAAAAAAAAAAAAAAAAAGGATAATTCTACCATTTACTTTAGGGACTTGAAAATTATAAATAGATTTAGGAAAATCACATGATAGATGGCACACTTACAGATACCCATCTTTAGATATGATGCATTCCATAGCGGCAAATATTGTAATGTTAAGAAAGCTATTTCATTGAGGGGGTCATCAGAATCACTTGTGAGAAATACACCTTCTGAGTTACATGTCTTCTCCTACTGGCAGGAGGATTTCTAGGACTATAACACGAGGCATTGAGTGACATAGTTCTCTGGTACGCTGGAGGGAAAAATCATTGAGAACCCACTACAGTGTGGCCCACAAGCCTCTGTGCCTGGGAACAATGGCATAGCAGTGGATATCTTAGAATGCGAGTGGGAGAGAAGACTTCATGTGTGTATAAAAAGAAGTGGCCCACATGTAGAGAATATTTTGTAAAATTCTGTAATGAATATTTTGAAAATAAAGGTACATATAGCTACAACTTCAGGGCAACTTTTGGGATACTCTGTATTTTAACAGAATAAGGATTTGGGAAAACTAATGAGGAAACTCTAGATCAGGCTAAGAACAGCCTAAAGCAAAAAAAAAAAAAAAAAAAAAGCTCTTGCTCTCCTGTATCTTATTTTTTATGAGTGGCTTTGCAGATTATCTGTTAAGTTTACTTCCCATGAATAAAACCACTCCCCCAGGAAAGTTCAGCATTGTTCAACTCTAGGCCTACCACAGAGACTTAATACTACAGAACACATTTTGTGTTTTAAAGGTTTATCTGGTTTATCTATATAGAAGTTTCTATAATACATAATTTCATGTCCCAATTGCCTGATTCAAAGGAAATTTACTGTCATAAGTAAGGATCTAATACTCAAAGTAGGATTGTTTCCAGCTAAGAGTTAACAGTGTTTTCAATTTTTACTAATAAATTAAAAAGCAAAGACTCAATTAACTTTCTTAACAAGGTAATTAACCTAAAACATTTCATGAGCTGCTGAAACATACAAAGTCTATAGCTCCATCTGTCAAATACATCATAAATCATAAAAATCCTGTAGGTACAAGAATGTCCAAGCTTATTTTCTAAATGAAAGTAGTAGAAACTTTGTGCCTGATTATTAGCTTCCAATTACAAGTGAATAATGATCACTACACTTTTACTTTGTAAAAAGAAAATAAGCCGTCAATCACAACTTGAGAGCTATGTGATGGTTCAGGACAGCACAGATATAACATAAACGTAATATAGGATTTTTCATCACAATGTGTGTATACTTATCATCAGAAACATGAAGAAATAAATTTGTTTTTCAAGAGCTTACAGAAGATGAAAAAGCAAATTCCAAAGGAAAGAAAAATAGAATGATAGAATTAGAGAAATACTAACTAAATGTACGGTATGCCTTTTATTCCAGAATTCTAGGGTATCTTCCTTCTTACATCCCCATATGAGGTAAGTACAAGAAGTTGGCACATCCTTGAAAAGAGAATTCTAAAATATCCAGCAATTTTTAAGTGCACATATTGTTTAGCTCAGAAATTCCACTTCCAGTAATCCTACAGGATTACCAAAAAACAGTGTGTACAATAATAGTCATTGCTACGTTATTTATAATAACAAAGGAAAAAACTAGATACATCCATACTACAGAATACTGTACAGAAAACAACTAGGTCACACTACACAAATAATATGTAAAGTGATAGAACATACATTTTGGAATTTTTTTAAGCTGTATTACATTATATTTTATACATAATTCCACTTTTAAACAATGACACATATGTTTGTATGTGCATATAAAATGTTTGGAAAGATATATAAGAAGCTGTCAAAATTGTTACTTCTTTTGAGTGAAACTAAGAGAAAAGAAACCCCTTGGCTTTGAGAGAAAAGTTTTATTTTTTTTAAAACAATGAGCATGTACTACTTTAAAATATCTTTAAAATTCCTAACTCCCCATAGGAGGTATCAATGGCCCAAGTTGAGCGAGTGTCTGTTTAATTCATGTCCCGACTTCCCTATATAAGTTCGTTGTCAATCCATCTGACAAGCTAACCTAAAGATCTTCACAAACCTCTTCTCCTTTATCTCACATCCCCACTTCCCAACAACTGCATTCCCAAAAAGTTGGGTAAGAGAATATACAAACACATGTAAGTGTTCTCACCTGTTCTATAGCACCCGCCTGTCCATTACTATACTCTCGATATTGTCCAAGCATCTGGTCCACTTGTCGCAGGTTCCAACTGGTGTCCTTGAAAGCAAATGGGCCATGTTAATTGTTCTGAACATTGACCATTGTTTTTCCCAGTCAATCTTGGTAGTATGTCAATCAACTAAGTTAACAGTTTTACAGATAATTCAATTTATATCACAAAATATAAAATTTATATCATATAATATCATAAGTTAAATTGGATATCAATCTACCTCACAAATATCAAAGAAATCTAAACACTGAGAAAGATACTGAAATAAAAATGCAGTTTACTTGCGTAAAATCTGAAGCACATGATTTAAATCTTTATTCAAGGTTGCCTAAGAAGTCAGCAACAAAACCATAAATTGAAAAGAATCCTTATTTTCAGTATGTGGACCTCAACTAATTCATACTTTCCTTACAGAAAAGAAATCCCAAAAGAACAAATCTAGTAGCTTGTGTACAAGAGAAGCAAATCATTAGAATCAGTGTCACTCCATTACTCCATCACCTCAGAACTTGATAAAAGGGAAAAGAAAGCAGCCTTTACCATACGCTATAAACAACAAATTTAGTTCTAATCACAACAGAAATGATTTTCACCTAAACGTGCTAAGTTTCACCTAAGAGATTAATGGAGGCATTTCTTTCAAAAACATATACTTATTAATGTACCTAATTGGTGGGAAAGTACATGAATTCATACTCCAAAATTATATTGTTATCTTAGTTTAAATCCATTTGAAACGAATAGACCTTCTGATTATTTTTTTGCAGTTGTTGGCCAGGGCCAGGTTTGAACCTGCCACCTCTAGTATATGGAGCTGGCACCCTACTCCTTTGAGCCACAGGCACTGCCCAACCTTTTGATTTTTAAATGATATTGTGGCTTCACTAAAAAGTATCCTCTCCTTAACTAAGCACACTAATCCAAAGCAATTAAAGCCAAAATCCACACTTATCCAAGCTATAAAGTAAGGAATTAAGAAGGACATAAATCCTATTTCTGAGTTTTCTTTTTCCCAGTGTAACTATGTTCCCCTTTCCCATCTCTTTTCCCAAGCCTTTTCTATGGAAAGGGTGTAAACTGTCCCCACCGAACACTGTTAAAAGTTAGCCTCTAAATCAAAATGGCATCTCTATAGCATTTATCCATAGGCAATCTACCTTGCCAATATACGGGCAACTCCGCTAAAGGCACATGCCCAGAAGAAGCTCAACTACTAACAGTAATTTCTAAGAATTTAACTCTCATGATACTTTATTTGGAAATATTCCTTTATCCCAAAACATTCTCCACATCCTATCACATATTTCAAATATCTTTACTGATGTTAGTGGGCCTCAATGATTTCCAAGTCCTAATTCCCAGGACACGTACTTTATGTGGCAACAGAGATTTATAGATGTGATTACATTAAAGCCTTTGAGATAGGGAGATCCTACCGGATTATGGAGAGGACCCAATGCCATCACAAGCATCCTTAAAAGAGGACGAGGGTGGCAGGAGAGGCAGAGTGGTGTGATGGGAGGACTCAGCCCATCCCCGCAGGCTTTGAAGATGGAAGCAGGCCTCGAGACAAGGGCAGCCTCAGAAGACAGAAAAGGCAAGAGAACGAGATTTCCCCTAGAGCCTCCAGGAGGGAACGCAGCCCTACCAACACCCTGATTTCTAGTCTCACAAGACCAATGGCAGACTTCTCACTGACAGAACTGTAAGATAAGTTTGTGTTCTTTTAAGATACTAGTTTTGCGGTAATTTGTTACAGGAACAAGAAAACTAATACAGTGGCTGAAGCTATCACTCTGCTCAAACTATTTAAAATCTATAAATGCAACCACTGTTAAACTGACCTGTAAAGTACTTGTTATGGTGTTGACCTTCTCAGTGACTCCTACCGTTGGATGACTTCCGGTTTCCCTGTGACCTGATCGGGAGGCCCAGCGACTGCATCGGTTACCATAGCGCAAGTGGTCTGACTCACTGGACGATTCTGCCATGGATTTATATAAATCCTTCAAAATAAATCCAAGTCCAGGTCAGTCAGACGGTCAAAACTGGGAGAAACAGATTAATTTATTCACTTTTTGATCTTTTTAAGTATTTATTACTTCGGTTCTTTTGTATATTGTAATTTCTATATACAGAGCTTACCAACACAAAAAGGCAGTTCACCATGTAACTCCCATTACTGTTTCTGCTTTAAAAGCAATTCATCAGCCATGTTTTCAGTCCTGTTTACAACTCTAAATAATAATAATCCCTTAGATTGTGCAATGCTTCCAAATTCTAAAAGCATTCCACATACAATAACTCACTTTATCCTACCAACAACACTGTAAGGTAGGGGAAAACACAAATACAGTCAAACCACGTAAGTCTGACCCCCTGAGGGGCTGTAACAAACTGGTCAACACAGGGAACTAGGCCCACTGTGCTGATCCGTGCATGTGGTGCATGGCAGGTCTCTTAAAATTAGGGCAAGTTAAGCAGGTGGTCAATATAGGAGGTGGTCAACTATTGAGGTTCCACTGTATTTTCTAAAATTAGGATCTTGCAAGTGTCTTAATATTAGTCTGATAAAAACATTGCATCTTTAAACCTAAAAATACAGCAAACACACAGCATGACCTGCAATTAGAGAATCCCATTCAGTGTACAGTGAAAACTCTCATGTATCTTAATTTAAAATATATCAGAATTAAACAAATGGTGTAACAGAGGTACAAATTCTATACTGATGAATACGGGAGAAGCCAGCATCTTCAACAGCTCCACCAAAACAGAAAGCCAAACAGCCCGAGAATAACTGGATCATCAGATAATTCTCTTAACATGCTTTTCTCCCATTCTTACCTTAATTTTCTATTTTAGGTATAAGAAAATTATTTCATGCAAGCAAATCTTAAAAGTTTCAGGAAACCTTTTAACAGAAGTTGACGAAACTAAATATATTTAGAACAAGGAAGCATCAGAGAAAAACGCAACTGGTCAAAAGTGAAAGTTTACTGATTATCCAAATTTCATTTTCTACTTAACTTAATCTTTATTTTAATATTAATTTATATAATCTTCCTAAAATCAATAGGCCATTTTTTTCTGCCTTATTAAGTAAAATGTGATGAAACTTTAATATTTAACAATAGACTATTCTGGACTTCTGGATCTTTATTCTGCATTTATCTGGGAAATACATGACCATATACCTAAAGAGAAGCTAAAGGGACTTGCTAAATATATTTTGATCCTAGAGCATTTAATGAAAGCAATCATGTTTTTAAAATATTAGATAAAAGTAAATAAATAAACAACCAAAGAACACTAGCTGTGAGTTTAGGTTTTCAAACACGAAGTCTATCTTTGCCACATCAGAAAAAGGGTCAATGAAGTATCTGAGACAGGGTTAGAGACATCCTCAAATACCCATGCTTCTCCTCTTCCTCTCCTACACCTCTTAACTTCCTTCTGCACCAATCTTCTCAGATTCTTGCCTCCCTTCTCAGACATACAAGCACAAAGGTATAGTGCTCACCTATAGTGTAACTCCCTCCCTTAGCAGAAAACATGAACAAGAAACTAAGCCTGAAGCTCACCTATAGTGTAACTCCCTCCCTTAGCAGAAAACATGAACAAGAAACTAAGCCTGAAGCAAATGTCGGGAATTGTTTTTCTTGGCTTACAATTGTTTAACTCTAAAAGAATAAAGTCAAGAACAAATGAAAACTTCCATTTAAAGTTCACCTTTTAAACTTAGGAAATCCCTTTAGTGTCTATCTCATAAATCTATGCTACATGACCTAAATCTTTCACTCTAAATGGATGCTTCACTTCCCAACATCTTTCATTAGTGAAAGCAGGTAAAGCCAACATTTTCTTGAGAACTTGCTATTATGCAAGATACTATGTAGACAACCCTATTGAATTTTGATAATAAACTATAAAATGAACACTATTAATGCCTAATTTACAAGGGATGTTAAGCCCAAAAGTTATTAAGCAACATATCCAACTCCATGCATTAATTACATGTAGCAACTCCAGGATGTAGACCCAGGATTCAGCCAGACTTCGCTATTCTTCAATGCTATGTTCATTCCACTGTCTTCTGCTATCCATTACATCCAATAACAGCAAATAAAAATGGCTAAAGACAGAGCAGGCCAGGGCCTTCATATGTCTACAGTCTCCTCAACTCCCTCTCATTTCATGTCAGCAGAAAAACATCAAAAAGGAAAGGAAATATAAAGACGGTGAAACTTTTATTTTTGAGAAAGAGTCTCACTCTAACACCCTGGGTAGAATACCGTGGCATCTTCGTAGCTCACAGCAACCTCAAATTCTTGAGCCTAAAGGAACCTCTTGCCTCAGCCTCCCAAGGACAGGCAGCTGCCATGATGCCTGGCTAGTTTTTCTACTTTTAGTAGAGACAGGTACTTGCTGTTGCTCAGGATGGTCTCAAACTCCTGAGCTCAAGCAGGAGCTTGAGCTACCCACCTCAGCTTCCCAAAGTGCTAGGGTTACAGGTGTGAGCCACCAGGCCCACAGAAGAAGATGAAATCTTAATTAGGCACATCGGGGAAAAAATGAAGTGACATTTCTAAAGAGTCCGGTAAACAAATCAAACCACTGGCTTCATAGTAAGGGGATTTTGTTCTCTGACTCCTTTTACCTCTTGTATAAAAGAAAATAATAATTATATCTGAGATCTGCAGCTTTCATATCAAAATTGTATTGTTTAGAGTATAACAATGTTCATGTTACAAGTCATAATTCTGGAAGCTAAACTGAAATTAACAAATCATGAGGCAGAATACAAAGACAACGCTTACATAATGGTTATGGTTACTGGTGAGAAAAAGGAACAAAATAACTATCTTTGGGATTTGATGTTTCTAAAAGGATAAAAATTTTAATAATAACCAGTTACCTATAAATAACTGTATTGGATACAAACAATATGTAAGACACTTCAAAAAAATAGACAATTGAGCTTCAACTTGACTAAAAATAGGAATAATTGAAATTTTTAGGTTTTTTAATAACATAGAAAAATATTTAAAACAAAAATAATAGACTAATAAAATAAGCATGCATATATGGACCTAGAACTAATGAATAGTTCTGACATATATTTTTCTAATATTTTTTGTAATAGTAAAAGATGCAGAATATTACAGAGTGTTGGTACCCTCTGATCCAGCCTTCACCCAGTATCATTCCCGCCCCACCTCCTCCAAAATGACCACAGCAAAGTTTCATGTATAACAGTCCAGGCAATGTTTTTACATTTTTACCATAGGCATAAGTACCTCAAAATCTTTTGTATGAAGCATGAATTTATAGACAATTGATAAATGCTAACAAGTGAAGAAATGGGATACTGAATTTAACTCTGAAACAGAAAAATCTTAGTGGCATTAAATAAAATTAAGAACAAGAACAACATTAACTAAATTATCTCCAATTATCACATAATATAGGAGGGAAAAATGACCTCTCACTTACCCCACTAGGATTGCATACTTTTAATAAAACAGAATCACACTTTCCAGCATGAGTTTCACCAGTACATACATACAATGTCTTCAGCTATTAATTTCAATTACTTTGAGCAATAAGAGATGTTCAAACTCCTGCATCTGATGGAACACCTGCAGAGATACCAAGATTTAAGGTGAGCTATAGCTGAGAAATTTGCATAGGTTTTTTTAAGCACAAGAAACACTTAGCAACCATCTAAAGACTTCAATTACTTAAGTTTCATAAATGTTGGACTAAGGAAAATTAAAGAATCTAATTAAAAAATAGAAATTATTTTTGTTGTTGATAAATATTTGGCATTTTCTTCAATTATTACTGACAATTCAGAAGGTCAAACATGATTCCCATACCTAACTAAGAGAACACTTGAGGCTCAGGGCCAGCACCAAAGGAATGAAAAGGGGAGAGGTCTATCCTTACGAAAAGATGCCAGTCTATCACAGCCAGAACTACCTCTCCCCAAACACAGGGTTGATGCAGAAAGAGAGGAACAGATGAGAACAGAACTGCCATCAAAGTTGACAGGAGGCTCACACTACATTGGTCAGAAACTAGGGTAGAATGTATGGAGGGTCATGAAAATAGCTCCTGAGTGGCCTTAAATACACCTGACTCAAAAAATGCAAAGCAGCGTCAATTATATACTTTTCATTCATCATTAACAATGTATTATTATATGCTACAATTAAAAAATTACTTTTTAAAAAGTATAGTAAATCCTAACATTCCTGCATTAATAAAAACTGACTAGGCCTCTGAAAATATTCTCCCCAGTGATACTTTACTTAACATATTGGATTCATTCCACGTTGAGAAAAGCATACCTAGTGTCCACATAAGAAAATAAATATGGCTTGGCGCCTGTAGCTTAAGCGGCTAAGGCACTAGCCACATACACCAGAGCTGGTGGGTTAGAATCCAGCCTAGGCCTGCCAAACTACAATGACAGCTGCAACCAAAAAAAA